TTTGTAGGGATTGACACTATCAATATCATCTTATCGATAATATGTTTATAAGAGGCAAAGGCACGTTCTTGGATGCAGCCTCTTGTGATTTCGTTTTTTTTTTAATTTTCTATATTTACGTGTGAGTGTTTCGTAATAATGAATACTTACTCATTATTGTAAATACTTTAATGAGATGATTTAAACTCTTATAATATTTCAGATTTCCAAAAAAATATCCAGGATAAACAAAAATGATTAAAAATGATAAATAGAGAAGGATGGGTTAAAAAAATCAACTAAATGTAGTAAGCACTTTAAACAAAAATGTTTTTCTCATAGGAGTGCACAAAGAGTAAAATTGCGTTTTGGATCAATACCCACATTATTTATGCCCGTGCGTATTTTTTTAATTATATATTTTACTGTACTTATGTTCATTTCGTTTGCGCATGTTCAAATGTGTACAACTTGTTGTTGTCATCCACGTGGTGTATATTTTTTTATAAAACGAAAGTAACAAAGGAACTTACAGTATCACTTTATAATAAACGGCTGCTGCAGTACTTGGTCACCTACAATCATTTTCTAACAAAAAAGTACAGCCATGCTGCAGCTATGTCAATAGTATAGTTGTAGCACGAATGGGTCGGCTCGACCGAGTAAGGACCACGCTCTCACAGAATACCAGCGTAAAATAGCAGTATATGCTGCTGTGTTTCGTATGGTGGGTGTAGAGAGCCGGAGACCCTTTTTACTGGAAAAGAGGCATTCTATCTTAGTCCTAACTGCTGACAACGCATCTGCATTTTAATTCGCAAACGGAGATAGATGCAGATGTCTATGGCCCACAGCAACCACTTACCATCAGGTGAGCTGTGTGCTCATTTGTCACCCTAATTCTATAAAAAAAATGTGTTTTCACCCCTGAGGACTAAGATAAAATATCTTACAACTTATAACTATACAGGCTCCCTATACTCAAATGGCTGGAACGCGGCAGTGTAAGCACTGCTGTTTAGCGGCAGAAATAGGTAAAAGAGCTGTATTTTCTTAATTTTAATCATAGATAAGTACATAATATGTACACTAATTATATTTGTTTGTAGGTTATATTGAAGCTGGTACCCAAAGCATCCTCATGTGTCTACAGAGATATATTTCCAGTACCCAGTAGCTCAATTCCAAACGTTTCTGTTATAGACAATTCCCCGAGAAAGAAAAAAAAATGAAGAAAACTATTGATATTCTTCATAATTATCATGAAATTATTTGCAAAATGGTAAAACATTTAAAACAAAACAAGACTTTGTACGGGAGGGCGGATTTTGAGACAAACACTAGTATTGTTTTGCATTTGGAACTTTGAGTGTTTTATTTAAGTACAGTCCAACAGGTATCCCAAGCACGTGGTAGTACTCAGCCTCCCTCTCTATTAAAATTAGAAAGTGTTTTTTTTTAATTTTAATAGCCTCACGTATCATCCTTAGTAGGAATCGATGTTCTTTCGCGAGAATTTGTGGTCTATCAAATTTAATGTAATGGCGGAGGCCGTCTAGGATATTGTAACGAACCCCCCCCCCATCTTTTTTCTTTTCTAGTATATCCCACTTATACTTGTATTTTTTTAGAATCTATATCTGTAAGATATATAAATACATCTAATTTACGTGACCAGTATAACTTGATCTTTCTAAAGGTTTAAATATAGGCCGTTTAATAAATTTATGGCGTGATCGTCTTAGTTAGGACCCTTTTTTACGTTGTGTTTGTATAGTAACTTAGTTCTTTTAGGTGTATCTTGGAAGAATGAATATTCACGAGAGCAATCGAAAGCTGTTGGTAGAGTCTTATAAGCTAAAGAACCCCGTTCACGAAGACAGAGCTCAAAAAGGTTAAGAACAATAAATTGTCCCTATTCCACTTGTATCTGGTTCACAACAGTCAATTCCTTATTAATTAATCCCTTCCCGCTTGGAAAAGGCTCACAATATTTATATCAAATACCAGTTACAAGGGCTTCGCTCTCCCACATTTTAAAAAAAATGTGGAGGAGGTACACGGCCCCACACACGCCGCGCACGGTGAGCGCCAACCATTTTAATGCGCCTCCCCGAAGGGTACGCAAAGTTGGGAACTGGACCGTAGTCCACAGCAAAATAACTGGCGAACCAGTAAAAGAGGACTTGGCCCCTTGATAGTGCGTAAGCACAAACATCGACCGAAGTCGCGCATGTCAATGCGTGTAAACGCCATACAGAATACGATCAAATCCAGCCACAGTGAAATGTACGTCACACGGGTTAGGCAACAATCGGCACACTGACCATAAAAAGCCCTCTGTGAGCGCCACCACCTGCCAGACCGCCGTTTCTGCAGACGTGATGTAAGTGTAAGGCATCACCACCAATTGCATGGTCAGCACGGCCAATTGGCCGCAGAGCGTGTCATGAGTCTACCGCTCACCTCAAGGGAATGGGGTCCCACGTTGCGCGGCTTTCGGCCGCAGCCTTGAGAGCCTCCTCAGATTCTCCCTCCAGCTACCACCCGCATGAGGTCGACACATATGCTCCACCAACCAATACAATGGCAGATATAGCCAATAGGCAGTTATAAGATAATATTAATAATTCGCCATCAGAAAGGGTTTGTGTCACTGACGTTGAGTATATGCATTTTTCGATCATGTTTGTCTCACCCACCAACAAGTTGCCTTCAATCTCTCAAAGGTGGGAACTTTATAGAGATATATTATTAAGTTGTTATATAAAACATCATGGAGGGCAGACAGTCTGCAGCCCCGCAATGAAGGGACCCGACTTGGGCAAAGCTACTTAGGTTGTGAGTCAAACCAAGACGCAGAGAGCGCCATTGAGAATAGCGACCCGCCAAACAACCATCGTAGAGACGCGATGCTACAGAATGCAACAAGCATCAATACGACTATCGTCGGGCTTACACCATCCCAAGGTCCCCCATACAGTCCCAGCAGACATCACCACCCACATACCTCCATCGACCAGAACCACAAGATGCATCGAATCAGGTGCAGCACACCCGCAGATCCATCACAAGACACAATACTGCAAGTAGCAGTAAGCATCAATGCAACTATCATACGGATGGCGCCCCCTCACAACACACCCACATGATCCCTATCGACTTTGGTAACAAAATTTGATAATGTTGTTAACTAAAAATATCACCAACGTATCATAGTAGTACGGTACTAAGACGTAAGTAGCCAAAACTCCACGTATCATAGCGCTATTGCACTAAGACATGAAGTTGAGTATGCTTGCTGCACTTAAAAGTACTACCAAACACACTCACCCTAATCCGAAAGATAGCCGACGTATCATAACGCTATGCGCTAAGACGCCGCCCACAACCGGTAGGGGTGTGCGATGTCCACGGGCAAGTCGTATTGCTACAACAAACCCGCTTACCACCGGCACTAAGATGATATGTCTAGGACACATCGGTTAGTGAGTCCAAGTTTACCTCGGTCTCAGAGGCTGCGAAGCAACCTACACGCCACTATAATAATCCTTTTCAAGTCCCATTTCTTTCAATATAATGCTTTTACATATTTGAGATCTTCCACATATTTGCTTTATTTCATAGACCATACTACTGTATGTCTTATTCATATGGGACTTCAAGTCATAACTCTGCTATCATAATGCTTATGCATCATAGAGACCTTCTATATTAATGCTTTGGTTCGTCAGACCTTACTATGTTAAGTCCCTAATATAGGACTAGTCATTGTGCAACCTTAGTACTAGCAGTCGGTCAGCCGACCACCCCATATATATGTACAACCTTGGGTATGTGTCTCCGACAACGCCCCAATATAAGGGAACATTACAAGAACACGTTCATTAACTTAGAAATTTTCCAATTATTACACGAACACCTTCATCAACTTAGAAAATTTTAATCCATTTTTTCTATTATATTACAAATGTTATTTATCTTTGTTATTGCAATATAATCGCCTTGTATTTATATGATTTGATATATTTTGAACATTTTAAGCAGGTTTTTAATAAATTTAGAGATTTTTTGAGACATTTTATGCGTTTACTAATATATATAATATTCAATATTCCAAATGGATATTTTTGAACTCTATGCTTATTATTTGCATTTTATTGTTTAAATTATAATTTCTATGACATTTTTAAATGTCTGTATAATGAATTTAATTATTATTTATTAATAATAATTATGAGGCGTCACAATCCACCCCCAAATTTTATGTTAATGATCCACATAGTGGAGTCGTTAATATAAAATTTTAGTATTTTGAGAGCATATACACTACACTCAAATAATTGTTTATATATCTGTTCTTTCCTCTTTTAGTCTGTTACAATACGGCATATGTTATCAAATCCCCCTACCCCAGAGTATGGCCGCCACCAACACCCCTTCAACCACAATTATCACAATGTGATAACACCATAATTCAAGTTATTATATATCGTGTTGTTAATAAAGTTTGCAGTCAATTGTCGATTTCTTATTTTATTAATTTATCTTTAAATCTTTGAAACATTATTTCGATAGTGTCACACTTTATGTGCATACAATCCAGTTTGATATTTGTTGAGGTCAGTTCGATACCACATAGGATAAATGTGTTTGAGCCATTCGCCCTGACCCAACTCCCATATTTATTTAATAAAAATGATTACAAAATTATCTTACGATCTATATTTACAACTCTTCATTATATATTTATAACGTTCTACTATCATATAACAAATCTCTTGCTCATAACTTTAATAATTTTAGACCTTTAACTTAAACAATTATTTCCATGGGCCACCCACAAAACCCTTTTATGTTACAATATTTATTTAATTACTCTAATTTATACAAAAAGAAATTATTATTTAAAATATTTTAATAAGTGAATAGCATTGAAAATTCCTCTAATTTCGTTTGTCTCTGGATTTGCTAAGGTATATACATTGTCAAATGGTACGGCTGCTATTACATAAGGTCCTTCATATGCCTTTTAAGGCTTTACTATTATAGCCTAAAATTCTCATTTCATTATTATCATCTATCTGATATAGTACTCCGGCCATACCCACACCGGAACAATCTGTTTGTAAATAATACGGCTTATTAAAGTCTCGATGATACAATTGTATTGTATTAATAAATTGTTGTTTTATAAAATCAAATGCCTTCTGTTCTTTACCGCTCCATTGGAACTTTCGTCCCTTTTTAAGTAACTCATCGAGCGGTATTATGCTCTCGCTGTAATTTGGTATAAACCTTCTATAAAAATTGCATAGACCTAAAAAGGCCCTTAATTGTTTAATCTTTTTAGGTGCTGGAAACTCTTGGATCGCTCGAATCTTATCGGGATCTGTCTTTATGCCTTCTGTTGAAATTATAAAACCCAGCATTTTAATTTCTTTACAAATAAATTCACATTTCTGCAAGTTACACGTTAAGCCAGCTTTGTTCAATTTACTTAAAACAATATCAATGTGCTCCAAATGTTTATCTAACGTTCCTGTTGTAATAATGGCTAGATCATCTAAATAGTTCACACAAAATTCTTGGACTTCTGGTCCTAATATTAAATTCACGGCTCTGCTAAAGCTTCCTACTGATGTTTTTAATCCTTGCGGCAAAACATTATATACATATGACTTTCCATTGAATGTGAATCCAGTATATTTTCTACCATCTTTATTTATCGGAATTTGAAAATATGCATTATTTAAGTCAATGGTAGTGATATAATTCGTTCCGTGAAATGAATTCAAAACATCTAATTGTATAGGTGGTTTCTCTGTTTCTGCAACCATTTTCTTATTTATGCTTCTGGCATCAAGCAGAACTCTAATTGAGCCGTCTTTTTTAACTGTGAATGTCAATGGACTACTGTAAGGCGTTGATGTCCTTGTGATGATACCAGCTTGTTCCATTTCATTTAACTTTTCTTCCATTTTCGCTCTATATGCATATGGAATGGGATAGGACCTAGTAACTATAGGTTCATCATCGATCATTTCAATTTTATGCTCATAGCAATTGGCTCTTCCCAATTTGCTCGAAAACATATTCTTATGCTTTTCCAAAACCTTACTAAGTTTTGCCCTTTGAGAGACCTCCAATGTAGATCCTATTTTTATATTTATTAAGGGATCATCGGTACATTGTTTGATGCAGTTATTATGTAATACAGATTTATTATTATATTTGAAAGGTATAAAGTAGTCTTTGTTTTTCACTTTAAATTCTATTCCAACAGTAGTATTTCTCAAATCAATCAATATTTTATTTCTCTTGAGCCAGTCAAAGCCTAATATTAAAGGTCTTATTAAATTACCTACAATTAAAGTTTGTGTTTCAAAGACTACTTCATCTATCTTTATAGGCAATATGATCATCTGTTGTATTTTTGTGCTGCGCTGCCCAACAGCACCTTTTATTTGCATTGCTTTAACTGGCATTATTGATATTTTACGATTATTATCTTTAATTTGTAAATATAAACTTTCTGAAATGCATGTAACATCGCTCCCAGTGTCGAGGAGCGCGTCTATTTCTTTGTCAAATATTGAAACTTTAATTTCAGATCTCATATTCCCTATAAATTCCCTTTGATATTTATCTTCGTCTTCCTCGAAGACGGTTTGCACGAATAACTCCGTTATGGGCAAGTCCGACCTGGCTTTTAAGGTGTTTAATATGCTATTTACATTGTCGTTATAACCAAGGCCTTCTCTGTTAAAATTTGCTTTTAAAGTAATAGGTTTTCGCAACCCTCTATTGTTTTTACCCAATGTTTGACCAGGTCGCCAACCCAGTTTTAATAACATATTTAATGCTTTGTTCCCTTTTACATTGTAAGGGGTCGAATCGGGAACTAGTTCGACCTCTACAGCTCTAAATTTGGCTCAGGGGCCGTAACATCAGGTTGGTCATTAGTGAAATGTATTTCATGTACTTCATTAACCTTCTTTTTTCCCTCTTCGGGTTTACGCCATGTTTTGTATGATTGTTGTATTTCTTTATGTGTTTGCTCCGTATTATTATTAAACTTCCTCCTTTTCTCATTATAGTAAGGTTCACGACCTTCATCTTGTTTGTCGATGTCATCTAAGTTTTTTAAGAAATCTGTCGTGTCTATTATTGTCTCAATTTTAGCTATTCTCCATAATTGCTGCACAGTTTTAGGATAATGTCTGATGACATCAGTTACTAATTGTTTTTCAGGTATCGGATATGATAATGTTTGTGCCTTCTCAACCACATAAAGAAAATAACTAACCATGGTGGGGTGTGTACTTCTATTCCATTTATTTTGCACAAGGAATCTCTTTACTTTATTTTGTTCTTCTTCACCCCAAAACACTCTTAGGAAGTCAGCTTTAAAATCATCAAAAGTTGTCCAACGCACATTATTAATGCGAGCCCAATACTTGGCTTCACCTACTAAGCACTCTTGTGCTATCGAAATTTCGAGACCATTAGATGGAACTTTCTTTAAATAATTGGTGAGATCTTCCAAAAATGATACTGGATGAGTATTTCCATTTCCAAATTTCGGCTTTTCTATTGTTACATTATGTACATTATATACAATATTTTGTCTAGGATCATTTACATGAGAGGTGCTCGCCCCGGACACCTCTCCTTGATTTATTTTAATTTGGTAATCTTTCGTTTGGTTAATAAATTTTTCCTCAAGATCCTTTATTTTAACCTCAAAGGTTCTCACTACATTCTTAATTAATTTCTGAAGCACTTTCATCTCATCTTTAGGCTTAGCCTTAATTGAGGTTGATTTTTTTCTTATTTTTAGCCATTTTAATTTTTATTTCCACTTGTTTTTTTTTTTTTTTTACACTCTTTGTGTCCTTCACTTACTTTAATTGAGTTTTTCCACTTATTTCACTTTATAATATATAGTATTGCAGTATTTTTTTTTTTTTTTTTTTTTTTTTTACACCTGTTGTGTCCTTCACTTAGTTTAATTGAGTCTTTCCACGTATTTCACTTTTTATTATTTCGCTCCGTTATGCACACACCTCCTATATTATTACTCAATTTTAATATTTAAGCCCCACCCCCAGACTCTCAACCACCCCCAGCAAACACCACTCTCCAAGACACCTCTCCATTTCACGGACAACAAATTGTAGGCATATAGCCTACCTCATAATTTTATATTACCGGCCTCCTATTTAAAATTTAACCTCCATCCTGGTTACGGCACCAAATTGTAACGAACCCCCCCCCCCCCATCTTTTTTCTTTTCTAGTATATCCCACTTATACTTGTATTTCTTTAGAATCTATATCTGTAAGATATATAAATACATCTAATTTACGTGACCAGTATAACTTGATCTTCCTAAAGGTTTAAATATAGGCCGTTTAATAAATTTATGGCGTGATCGTCTTAGTTAGGACCCTTTTTTACGTTGTGTTTGTATAGTAACTTAGTTCTTTTAGGTGTATCTTGGAAGAATGAATATTCACGAGAGCAATCGAAAGCTGTTGGTAGAGTCTTATAAGCTAAAGAACCCCGTTCACGAAGACAGAGCTCAAAAAGGTTAAGAACAATAAATTGTCCCTATTCCACTTGTATCTGGTTCACAACAGTCAATTCCTTATTAATTAATCCCTTCCCGCTTGGAAAAGGCTCACAATATTTATATCAAATACCAGTTACAAGGGCTTCGCTCTCCCACATTTTAAAAAAAATGTGGAGGAGGTACACGGCCCCACACACGCCGCGCACGGTGAGCGCCAACCATTTTAATGCGCTCCCCCCGAAGGGTACGCAAAGTTGGGAACTGGACCGTAGTCCACAGCAAAATAACTGGCGAACCAGTAAAAGAGGACTTGGCCCCTTGATAGTGCGTAAGCACAAACATCGACCGAAGTCGCGCATGTCAATGCGTGTAAACGCCATACAGAATACGATCAAATCCAGCCACAGTGAAATGTACGTCACACGGGTTAGGCAACAATCGGCACACTGACCATAAAAAGCCCTCTGTGAGCGCCACCACCTGCCAGACCGCCGTTTCTGCAGACGTGATGTAAGTGTAAGGCATCACCACCAATTGCATGGTCAGCACGGCCAATTGGCCGCAGAGCGTGTCATGAGTCTACCGCTCACCTCAAGGGAATGGGGTCCCACGTTGCGCGGCTTTCGGCCGCAGCCTTGAGAGCCTCCTCAGATTCTCCCTCCAGCTACCACCCGCATGAGGTCGACACATATGCTCCACCAACCAATACAATGGCAGATATAGCCAATAGGCAGTTATAAGATAATATTAATAATTCGCCATCAGAAAGGGTTTGTGTCACTGACGTTGAGTATATGCATTTTTCGATCATGTTTGTCTCACCCACCAACAAGTTGCCTTCAATCTCTCAAAGGTGGGAACTTTATAGAGATATATTATTAAGTTGTTATATAAAACATCATGGAGGGCAGACAGTCTGCAGCCCCGCAATGAAGGGACCCGACTTGGGCAAAGCTACTTAGGTTGTGAGTCAAACCAAGACGCAGAGAGCGCCATTGAGAATAGCGACCCGCCAAACAACCATCGTAGAGACGCGATGCTACAGAATGCAACAAGCATCAATACGACTATCGTCGGGCTTACACCATCCCAAGGTCCCCCATACAGTCCCAGCAGACATCACCACCCACATACCTCCATCGACCAGAACCACAAGATGCATCGAATCAGGTGCAGCACACCCGCAGATCCATCACAAGACACAATACTGCAAGTAGCAGTAAGCATCAATGCAACTATCATACGGATGGCGCCCCCTCACAACACACCCACATGATCCCTATCGACTTTGGTAACAAAATTTGATAATGTTGTTAACTAAAAATATCACCAACGTATCATAGTAGTACGGTACTAAGACGTAAGTAGCCAAAACTCCACGTATCATAGCGCTATTGCACTAAGACATGAAGTTGAGTATGCTTGCTGCACTTAAAAGTACTACCAAACACACTCACCCTAATCCGAAAGATAGCCGACGTATCATAACGCTATGCGCTAAGACGCCGCCCACAACCGGTAGGGGTGTGCGATGTCCACGGGCAAGTCGTATTGCTACAACAAACCCGCTTACCACCGGCACTAAGATGATATGTCTAGGACACATCGGTTAGTGAGTCCAAGTTTACCTCGGTCTCAGAGGCTGCGAAGCAACCTACACGCCACTATAATAATCCTTTTCAAGTCCCATTTCTTTCAATATAATGCTTTTACATATTTGAGATCTTCCACATATTTGCTTTATTTCATAGACCATACTACTGTATGTCTTATTCATATGGGACTTCAAGTCATAACTCTGCTATCATAATGCTTATGCATCATAGAGACCTTCTATATTAATGCTTTGGTTCGTCAGACCTTACTATGTTAAGTCCCTAATATAGGACTAGTCATTGTGCAACCTTAGTACTAGCAGTCGGTCAGCCGACCACCCCATATATATGTACAACCTTGGGTATGTGTCTCCGACAACGCCCCAATATAAGGGAACATTACAAGAACACGTTCATTAACTTAGAAATTTTCCAATTATTACACGAACACCTTCATCAACTTAGAAAATTTTAATCCATTTTTTCTATTATATTACAAATGTTATTTATCTTTGTTATTGCAATATAATCGCCTTGTATTTATATGATTTGATATATTTTGAACATTTTAAGCAGGTTTTTAATAAATTTAGAGATTTTTTGAGACATTTTATGCGTTTACTAATATATATAATATTCAATATTCCAAATGGATATTTTTGAACTCTATGCTTATTATTTGCATTTTATTGTTTAAATTATAATTTCTATGACATTTTTAAATGTCTGTATAATGAATTTAATTATTATTTATTAATAATAATTATGAGGCGTCACAATATGATCACAAACTACAGACTTCCTGGAG